CAAGCAAGCTATTGGTTGGCAGTTTAATGGCAGTAATGTCTGCGTCTTTCCGTGCGTTTTTTTTTTTTTTAGTATCCGTGCTGTATATTCCGTTAGCCTTTCTTAAAACGACAGTTCGCCTTCCACAAGCAATTAGCAATAGAGTCAATGAATTTTTTTCCGTTTTAATTATTTTAACTTTTAATGAAAAGAGCTTTAAGCGGTTTCTCTTTTGAAAGGCTTCAAAATGAAAAAGTTGAAAGAAAATGAATGCTTTTCTGGAATTATCTAAAAGTGTTTACATGAATTTTAAAATAATAATACGCAAGCTTAATTGACTTTAGAAATTCTATATTTACTTATACGTGTACACGTTGCTATACATAAATGTTTTAATGAAAATAACACATGTGCATGCATTTCCAGCTTATGAGTGGATTTACAATAAAATATTTCTTAAATTTTTAATTCTCGAGAAAACATTTCCTCTCCTGGATATGCACAAAATCAAAGCGAGAAAAGTAGAGAAGTGATTCTCCTGAATTGAACTGAGAAACGCAGAGAATAATGTTATTTCCCTTTCAATGCACAGGTCGGTACGGATAACTTTTTCTCACAAGTAACATAAACAAAACGGTTTCACTTTTAATTAGAGCAAATTTCGGAGCGTTGTGAACGCATTTTAATATACACTTTTCGACATCGTCTAATATTTCGATGCTTCTTCACTGAAAAGAAGTGAAGTTACGGGTATTTTACGGATATTGCATAGATTCTCGCCATTTTCTAAAAGTAATCATAATTATAGCTACAAGGTAAGGACTAAAACTGTGACTTTCTTCTTTGATAATGCAGTCTTCAAGCTTTATTACAATGTAGGTAGTCAAAGTTATACAGGAAAGGGTACAGAACATCGCCAATGGGATTTTTCAATTCATCCAGTTTCGCTTCAAAAAGACGAAGCGCCATTTGCGGTGAAATTTATTTTCGTGCTTGGTGATGTGAACAGTACATCCGTTACGATATCCAAAGTCTAAATAATCCCGGTGCAGATTAAGTGAACCAATAGTATCGTCGGTAAAGCAGCATGATCTAGGCGTGGTTTGTTGCACAATGGAAGCAAACTTCGATTAGAAAAGTTTACCACACAACAACTAATGCAGTTGGGACGACAGCTGGGCGCAATAGGCAAACAGTGACAATGTCGCGAATTTCCACCGTGTCGGAATTCAGCGGAATTCAGCGTCATGTAGCAAAACTCGCCCAGGAAAAGTTAACAATGTTAACATGGAATGAGTTACGCTCCACGTTCTCATCAGCGGACATTACTCCTGCAACCGACGCGAGTATGGCTCTCTTACTTGCCTCAAACTATTCTTCTTTTCGATTATCACAATTCAACCCTCTCCACCTGAGCAAAAATCTCGTGCTAAGAAACCTTTTGAAACAAGCCACGAATACTATTCATTGTAATATCTTAAGGCTTCGTATTTCCCGGGAATGTTTGTTAATCTTCTCGTTAGGTGCTAAATGCATTTATGACTGCGTCAGCTGCAACACAGAAAGTCTTTATTTGCTAATGTCGCTTCCACCCAATTAGGCACTTTTCTTCTTTTCATCTCACTCTAACTGAGATATGATTTTCATGCCTTTGTCAAAGTTTTTTTTAGAAGCTTAATGCGGGCGTAATACTTTTCGCAAAGCAATGCTTGTTCTCTGCATAGCTCTTCTTGCCATATGCACTTCAAAGTGAATATTCTGGATAAATCATATTATTGTGAAAATCTGTTGTTTCTTTCCGAAAAATTAAGTTTACTTAATATCGAAAAAAAGTGTTTTTTTATTATTATTATCACACAAAGTCGAGCATAGATAGGAACGTCAATTGACAATTTTAGGGTAAAGGCAAAATCACAAGATGATGTTACTCATTAACACTAGACCTACCGAGTAAGCCATTTTGGTTCTTTCAAAGAAATAGTCAACCGCCAGCATAATACGACAGACTTTGTGTTTTTTCGAGGTCGTCTCAGTTTCTAATTCAAGGTGGATGCTTATGTGAACATGTCACGATCATTGTAACGTTGGATTTCGAACTGATCAAGGAATGGTTGTGCCAAACACCAGCTTCTCATCTTCATTTTCACCAAAAAATGGGGTTAAAAGGGATCTTCCCTTTGGGAGAAACAGGTCTAAGCATAACGTCACTAGTCCCAGTGTTCTAAGAATTTCTAAAGAATATTGAAATTATTGAAAAGTTCATGAGCGCCTTGGTGAACTGTCGTCATAGCACACTCCAATTAACAGATAATAATAGAACCGGACAAGATTTTACATAGAAGTCAACGCGACTAAATCGCTTATATGGAAAAATTCTTGCTTTGGGCATTCTATATACGTGTATTTATACACGTACTAGAAAGCCTCTTTCATTTAATCCAACATTGACAAGAGTTTGTCGTGGCTTATGTGTGAGAGAAATCCCAAAATTTTCATCGAAGCTTACGTGATTACGTGATATTTTCGACTTTTTTACCGTTTATTTTGATCATAGATTTTGATCATAAGAATAAAATTTTCTAAATCACGATTGGATCTAAGGCAAGATTAAATGAATGAATTCTCCTATTACTGGCCACACCTACTACTGTTCGTAGCATAGCTTTTCTTTTTCGTTTTGTTTCTTGATTAGTAGGTCAACGACAACAACACCCTCAAAGTTATTTTCGGTGATTTTACTAAAAAGAAAAATTTTGTGCAAAAATACATTAAAGAGAAAAACTAGACTAAACAAAGTACAATTTAACGATAGATATTGACAAAGTGACAAACGTCTATCTATACCTTATTATTTATACGTAGATGTATTTATATGCATTCAAACGGATGCTTTTCCCTTTACTTTGCTCTTATGTCACACGCTTTATTTATTTTAGACAAATTGATTTCGTATAAAGTATTGCATTGAGGAAGAATTAAATTAAAACAGAAACAAAAAAATAAGACAAACGGGAAAATGAAAATTTAATTAAATCAAAATTAAATGCGTGACTAATTGCGTTTATTGCTCTTCATTCCGACAACTATTGGGAACGAAAGAAATCGCCAGGTTGTGACATATGCCTCCGAACTAATCATCTGTACGTGCGTGCCTTAATCTTTCCAAAAATGTATTACATTCCGTCGTTGAAAATTTCATTTCATTTAGCAATAATTTGAATGCAAATGTGCATTTTTGTTGTACGATCAACAATTCTTCAATTCCTCAAAACACCGCAAGCAATTTATACATTTTTTTGCTTAAATAGAAAACGTGATCTTAATGTAAACTATTTAATAAGCATTTTAAACTCGTGGGTTAAAGTCTTATTACATTCCTTCCCTAACCACACATAATCTATTCAAGTCGAAAAGTATCATTTGTAGAAATAAATTCTTATTGAAAAGAGCATTTAATTTCAATAATATGGTGGTATAATTATTTTATTCAGAATGCTGTCCGTCGCTATCCATTGCATTTGCCATCTTCCCTGCCGCTGTTCTTGAAAGCAAACACTTTCGCGGTGTTGTCGCAGTAATCGGAGAGCTACTAAAAAACAGATCGAAACCAACCTTAGGCAGAAAGACGAATGTCGGGTGAGTAGAAGGGAAGTGATAGCATCTCCCCATTCAGCGCTAGTGACTTTGGCCTCTAAAGCCATCATATCGTGACCTTTCAGCTTATTGCATCAGCTTTCCGGCTCACTAGCATCAGTTAGTTGTTGTTAACCGAGTTCGTTTCGTTCTTTCGGTTAGAACAACTTGCAATGCGCGATGTTCAGTTAATGTCGCAAACGATATATCGTAAACGTAATATGTCTTGCCAGCGTAAGCATTCTTTTTCATTATCGATAAAGTCTTGCCACAATGCGATGATTCGTATATCCCGTACACAGAACATAAACAATATATGGAGGTTCCTCCTGAAATGCACGCAATACCTTACAATAGTAAGGAAGAAATTTACATCGTTTGTTGAATTAAAATTTGGCTAAAGCTAATTGAGCGTCCGTGACATGAATATCTTACTCCAACAATGATTCAATTTTAAAAGATGGCAAACCTCCCGACGCAAATCATATAAAATCTACGCTCTTCTACGGAAGCAAAGAACCTAACTGCAACATGATCAAAGGGCCTTGTTAAAAAGCAGCAGCTGAGTTAATTTTGATCCTACCATCATGCAATGGCATGCGAGCCATGTTGCCTTAAGCTTTTCTCGAAATAGAATCTTTAGTAAATAACTGCTAATATCTAAAGCATTTGTCTTAAGCTAATGTGCGTGCGGATATCTTCTTTATAAGGCGAGGAATGGGGCAGGAGAACTGGTCATTCATTACCCTATTTCTTGGCATATGAGCAGCTTTGATGCACTTACTCATGAACTTGGCACCTAAATAATAAGAAAACGTGAAGCGATGGATCAGAGCTTAACAATATTCTTCCAAAAGGTTTAATATATTTCTCCAAAATATTTTCCAATTGATTTATTCCTGTACAGCACTCATCTACATCCATTCCATCAGCTACTCTGCATCACTTCAAGTCTAGCCTCTTTAACCTAAAGGTATAAAATTTGCCAACAACAATATATTATTACAACAATGTCAATATTATCAAAAGGCAAGTTACGAAATTTCTCAACGACGGGGTTGTTATTCCATTACCGTATTTTTTTCATTCCTGATAATTGCCTCTGATATCATTTCAAGTTTCTAAAGCAACTTTTGTCAGATATTACCCTAAACCACTATACATACATAGATGGTTTTATTTGTTCTAATGTGCTGCTCTCAACACCATACGTATAAATTTTTTTTATAGGAAAATTTTAACTTTGTTTAAAGTTTTCGGGTGATTTTCATCGTTAAGGTTGACGCTGACAGAACTAAAATTCTTAGTAATTTGTTAATAATAACATTCATTAACACTAACCAAAACTTTTAAAGCTTTTAAAGTTAGAAAAACTTGGTTTCCTTCTGATAGAAGCCTTTAAATGATAATGATGATGATATCTTAAAACTTGAAATCTTCGTTCATCTTAGTATGGGGTAAAATATTTTTATTTTTCATTAGCTTATGTTGTCTGTAGAAAAATTCATTTTCGAGGAGATTTAAATATGTTGACAGGTTTATCACACTTCAACAACAGCAAACGACTACGCCGGTGTCAGCTACCGAGAAATGTATCTTGTTATCTAAACATGCATTCATTGCCCAATGTTTACTAAGTGATAATTTTTTTTTTTTTACTTCAGTTATAAACAAAGAAATGTTTACCAGTAACCTCCTTATTACGATGGTGGTTGTCAGCAACTTTATTTGCTTTTTTATTTATTTTTCTTTTTTACACCCTACACCACTTGTGGCATAAGGGTATATTGACTTTGTGCGAAGGGACTTGGGAGAGGCTCACCTTCTGTTGTACCTATCGATTTAGATTCACTTTCAGAATTGATTTAAACTTGTCTGTCCGTCTTGCATGTCTGCGTAGAACCCACAGTCTTGAAATTTGTTACTAGACTTAACTTTTAGCCCAACGATGACCGGATCGGTCCAATTTTTCGGCTACCGCCCAAAAGCTATCTATTTTCAGTTTATACTATGTAACTGTATTAAGTGATGCCATGTAAGATATTTAATGTTGGGTGACCGCAGCCATCTATAATGTTTTTACTTGTTTCAAGGGCGAAAAAAGCAACTGTAGTTAATTTAATCCTTATTGCCGGGAGATGGCAATAAATCAAAGCAAAAATTTTTAATCGATATCTCTAGGTACACAGATTATCAGGGAATTGGGCTATTCGTAAATATTGGAAACATTTAAGGACTTCCTTAAGATGGCTTCAATTTTTCAGTTACTATATAGACTTTATGGCAAACTCTTCATGTCTCTCTTCTCAAAACTAAACAGAGCAAGTATCGAGCGCAATTGCTTCGAATGTTTGCCCTACTCTATTAACGCGTCTTTTTCTTGAACAATATGCGGATAGAGAGACAACTATCTTTAATAATCTGAAATAATATGAAAAGATTTACACGGTCCGAATGTTACTAACGATATAACAGATTTATTGTATCGTCATCTTCTGACAGATGCAATAATCTCATAAATTTTTCACGGAATTAATTAAAACACAAGAGAAAGAGAAAGAGAGATAGGAAGGGAAAGGCGGGCATCTTTTATTTAAATAGAGCATTTTCTAAAGACTAAAAATGAATTTATCTGAGAACATCTAAATGCAAGTAATTTAATTACACATATAAACATATACGTATATGCGTTGTGGTTGTTTGCGTATACGTGTAAACACATTCTCTCACATAAACCGCCTGATTAACTAGTAAATCTATTCATGACTTAGGGAAATCCGCCTTAAGAAAAATAATTCTTAACAAATATTTGGTTTTCGTCACTATTTTTTTTTCCTTTTTTTTTGTTTCCTTTCTTTACAAAATTTATTTCATTGTGGAATAAAATTCTTAGTAAAAAAAAATACTTGTTAGGAAGAAAAATGTACAATTAACGAGAAATAGATTTGGCAAGTTCTATCCCAGCATACCCTTACGGCATGAAACTGAAAGTGAAGAATACCTGACAACAACGGAAAATTAAGAGCAGGCCTTTTAATTTTTTTTCTTCTTTTTTTTTATTGTTTTAAAAATCGTCTAAGCTACTACCCAAAACAAAAACAAATCAATTTTTCATTCCGCTTGAAAAACAGAGGTGTTCTCAGTTTACGTGGTGCTGTGGCCGTGTCCTTTGACCGATTTGGTCCATTCTCAATATCAATCTGCGTGCAAGAACTTGCAATGTTTCTGCCAAATTTAAAGCTACATTTTTGCGACCAGGAGAATGTCTATACAACAGACATTACGCAACCAGACAGACGGACATGATTAAATAGATTTAGAATATTATGATGATCGAGAATATACGTACTTTATGGGATCTCTCTGTCTCTAAAGCTTTCTTCTGGGCGTTCCATACGTTTTGACAGAAGGAATACATATACCCCTCAACCGTCGGAGATGGGTATAAAAATTTATGTAATCTTTAGTTCAATGTTCATACTTTCAACACTAATATTAATAAATCTTTCAATTTTTTACAATAAAAAGAGTAAAATATTACTTCTAGTGGATCCGAAGTGATGTCACGTTAACCAACTAAATGTCTCGCCCTCGCGCGTATCTAAATTGCATCGCAAAAAAGTAACGACGACGAGTATTCTCGCTAAAGACAGTTAAGTGGAGCATGATTATGTTCGACTGGGCATCTGGAGATATTTTTTCCGAATTTCTATTACACGCATAGCATAGCTTTCTTTATTTTCTATTTCTTGTCTAAGAATCTTTTAAAGAAAGAACTTAACGGATCTCCCAGTGGAAAAAATGTAAGCAAAAAAAAAAACGATTTTCCGAAAGGGCTGCATTTTTGTGCAGTGGTGCTTGCAAGTAGACACTGCTATGAAGACGTACGGAGCGTAAATTGCTGTCTAATGAGCGAAAAAGGGCAATGACGTAATGAGTCGTAGGTCGTCGTGTCGAACCACCACAAAAACGAAATTAAGTTTTCAAATGGCTAGTTCCCACCCGAAGTGGAGCGTAGTACAAAAAACGAAGAGAAAATAAAACGCTAGACGAAGAGTTTCTCTATTAGAATTCGGTTAAATCGGATTTGCAAACTAATCTTTGCACCACTTTCACAGACATTTACTGTAGCGAATCCATTGTTTTTGAGCGGTTGTCCGAGTTGTTCCATCTTTCAGCAATTACTAGTGCTTTGGTTACTGTTGCCATCCGAGGGCGTTATACACATCTATTTCCAAATAAATTATTTGGTTTGATGCAGGCATTTACATGCAAACTCCTGCAACACATCTGTTCGGGAAAATAAATTTTGGTTTTTTTTTGTTTAGTCCAATTTTCTTCCCCTGATGATGCTGCATATCCACTTGACATTCAGTCCGGATGGTCTATGGTATTAGTTCCATGATTACTATCGAGGTTTGCCACTCCGAAGTTTAAGAAACGCAAACAGTTGATTAGTTAAATTCTCTTAGCAAATTTTCTTCGTGATTACACTCCCCTTTGAACCTTAGCGTCGGCCCAATGTCCGAATTTGTTTATTAAGTATTATTTTGTTTAAATTTTAAATTACATTTTGCGAAAAATTCTTTCTTTACTCGCATTTCTTTTATTAATAAAATATAATTATACTTTTTTTTTGCAACCTTTTTTTTAACATTCCCGCTAAGAGAAAAAAGGAAAAAAAAATTGCGTTAAGTATTTGTTTAAACTAAAAATACCTCACTAACAACACATGCTTCTATATAAGCGCAAAATGCACGCCTGATTGAAAATGTATTTCTGGTTTGAGTGATGGTGTGGAAAAAGCGGCAAATCAGAGAGAATTAGATACAATGTCTCCCCCGTTACCTACTAGGGTACGTCACTCGTCGCTTACAATTCAATCAACATCTGTTCAGCATATGAATAATTATTTGCTTAAAGTAACGGGAATACCGTAAAAAAAAACACACAACATTTTATTAAGCACAAGTCCTAGCAGACCTCAATAGTGTAGTTACGATTTCTTCTTTTTTTTTTTTAAAGAAGAAGCATTGGTTTTTATATAAGAGGATCAATGTCAAAAGCGAAAGTCGACATTGCATTGCATTGTCGTTGAACGAACTTTTTCAGCAACACGTTGACGCTTATGAAGGAAATCGAAGAATTACTCGAAGATTCCTTGTAAAAACAAATCCATAAATTTCCAGACAGATGGAACATGTTCACAGTTAACAGACAATAGATGTTAAACTGTTTATTAGAAATGGAAATCAGAGATTTTTCTTTTCGTTAAAAGAACCGACAGGAACCTACTTCTATCCCCCGATCGCTTCTGTGTATGAGGGAAGTAATATGCGATTACTTGCAAGTTGACTGAGAGCCTCTGGCTCTCTCTATACTTCTGACAATTTCCTAAAGAACATTGTGAAAGAAAGTTTAACATCTCGACTAAAGCATTAGATGAGAAAATTAAAAAGCCACTGCCGTTAATCAAAGTTGAGTCCCCGACATATTCAAATGAAATATTCTCCAGAATATTTCCATTGCTTTTGAAGATATAAAATTATTATCATTTCATTTTTAAATGTGGCTGAGAATATGGTCCTGGATTGCGATAGCAAAATGAGAAATAATGGATGCTCGATTGTTCAGCGACGAATATGGTGGAAAGCAATCAGTCAATTGCATATACGGTGTCTCCCTATGATAGTAACAAGTTATCCTACAAAATGTTAACTCAACTTGCATTCGTAAAAAATATATCGAAACCGAATCCCTTTCCTTTCTACCTGGATTGGAAGATAAGAGTTCCCTTTCTTTATTATTCAATATAGATTGGATGGCAAACGGATAAATAACTATCCCCAAAGAATGGGAAATTTAACTAAACTATGGTTTTCTCGAAGATTCGTTTCAGTTCATTTCAATTACGTTTCCCTTTTTTTTGTGCAAGGTACAGCCTGATGAGAAAAAGAAGGAAAAACCGAACCTACTTCGGACCACCGTTGAGCAAAAAGCCGGTAGCTACCTCGTTAGCCGATGCCCGAGTTCGACTGCTCCAGAATTACGTTCAAATGGATTTTGGATCAAAAGCGACATCGTCTAGGATACACATTTTAAAGAAAGCAATGAAAGCGAAATTATTATAAAATTTTATATGAAAAAAAGCCAACAAAATAAATGTTATTTGATCGCTGCACGCCCGCCCGTCATTCAAATGGTCTTCCTTCAATCCTTGTTTTAATGAGGAAACTGGATAAAAAACGAATGCCAACCGTAATCTAGTTGGTCAGCGTGAGTATCTTTCCCCAAAAGTATAAAAATCATATGGGATTAAGGGATGATTTCGCGAAGAAAAAGTCGCTTCTCATCAATGTAAAGCGCTGACAGGCTAGCAAAGGCGTCTTTGAAAAATTACACTATATATGTATATATAAATATATGCGTGTAAGAGAAGCCACCCATATTCGCCAGACGTATCTTCTCTGACTTATTACTCTTCTCAAATTTCAAAATATTTTTATACCCATCTGGGTCTGGGTGGTCAGGAAGTATATTCATTTTGTCAAAACGTTTACAACGACAATAAGGAAACTTCATAGACCCCAAAAGGTATATATATTCATGATCAGCATCAAATTCTGAATTGATTTAAACACGTCCATCTCTACATCTATATAATGTTTGCTATAAATATTCTCCTAGCCGCAAAAATGTAGCTGTCGACTTCAAGCATGGCAGAAACTTTGGAAATTTTTGTACGCAGGCTGGGATTGAAAATTCGCCAAATCGGTCGAAGAACACTCTTGGGGACTTAGAACACCTTCGCTTTTCAAACGAAATAAAAAATTCACTGTTTGTGTATTATTCATAAACTAAGGCAGAGAGATGTATAAACATTTAAACATATTGTTACGAAAATCCCAAATTCAGTTAACGTCAGCTAAGTAATTTTCGGAATAATAAATTCCCTAAATAAGGAAAAACCAAATGAGCATTCGCAGGCGCCTCATGAAGCTGCACGCCGATGAAAACGATTAGCGGAAAAACCAGGCTGGGATTAGACCATAACCATAAATTTAGGTATAGCAAGATGCTTGTAAAATTGTATGTAAATAGAATATTTGTGAAAAGTAGCGTTAGTCTGCCAAGAACGTAGAAGTTGAGAGTACGGCCAAAAATAAATTGTAAATAAATATTCCTACTGATGTGAAAGACAAGGTAGTAATATAAAAGAACTTTGAAGTGTATTTCTCTTGATCAAAATATCCACGATCTAGTGATACGAACTGTATCTTAGTAAAAGCGAATTTCATAACAATCTTTTCTCCGGAGATGTGCCTGTAGTACCTGTATGAAAATGGAAAACGTTGAAATAAGCTTCAACATCCCCAAAAAGCATATAATTGGCCAGTTTGAAATTTGGAATGCAACTAAACAAGTCCGCCCGTTCATCTGTTCATCTGCGCAACTGTGTAGTATTGTAGCTGTGGTAACCGGACTCCCAAACATGAGCATATCGCCTACAAATTTGCAAAAGAATTTGGACCTAAACATTTCAAAGGACACGCCTACATCGTCCACATGCGTATACAAGCAAAGACTCTTATGTTGAAAATAGAAAAAAATCGACTGTGCTCACTCCACATTATAGAGCGCGTAAGTATAGTTCGTTTCCTTTTTGTAGAATAACAGTGATGGTATAAAACTTTCGGTCACGACCGAATCCCTGCTTTCTTACTTGTTACATCTGAAGCGGTTTTTACCGAAAACAAAAACGAATTGGACCAGGTCTCCAATGCTTCGGACCTAGAATAGATAAACCAGAAACCAATCAAAGAAAATAAAATATATTTCCGGATTATCAGTGAAATAAACTGACGGATAATTTTTTTTTACCTAATTATTTACACTTTTCCGTTGCCAGGATAGAAAGTTCTTATAATACTTAATATTAATTCATATTCTTTGGATATGGAAAAGATTTTTTCAGCTTGAAAATAGTTAAGATTTCAAAGATGAAATAAGTTAAAGAAAATTAATCGTAGGCGATATTTTTTTTTTTTTGGAGGGGTGATATATTGCAATAGAGCCCGCATTTCTCACCGCACTTCTTTAATTTACAAAATACAAATTAAAGCCATCATCATTAACTCTTGCTCCCTCTTTGCGATTGTCGACTAGTTATTGCAACAATAATCAATACTTTTAACGTTGATTAATGGGAAACAAATTTAATCAATTACGATAGAATTTAAATTCCGTTGACGACGACGACGACGACGGTAACGATGATGATCGCTATATTCATGAGCATGCACAAGCCAACGCAAACGCAAACGCACACACACTCTTGCAATTAAGAACGATTTAAATATAATGAAGTCATTGAAAATTAAGCAATCGGCCTCAGAAACGACTCCCTTTACTTTTTATTCTCTTAAGAAGAGGAAAAGCGTAAAAAGAAGAAGAAAAATAATGCAAAAAAACATAAATAAATTAACAATAATATGTAGGGATGCTTTTGTGTGAGAAAAAGAAGAGAAAGGAGGAAGAGTTACAGATACCAAAAAAAAAAAAAAAATAAATAAATAAATAAAGAAAAGAAAGGATAGGAAAACCTAAGCGTATAAATTTAGCCAATGAGCGGATGAAATGCATGCATAGACAATAAATACCAGCATAAACGAACAGCAAAGAGTAATTATTCTAACATAAAACGCAATACGCATCACGCTCACCCACATACATTCTCGCATAAAAGCAACAGTAACGTAGCATATGGTTTATCGTGGAACATTTTATGGAGAATTGTGTAATAGAATGCACACACTGATGCACGGACGGACATATGATTTCATGCACATGTGCGCACATGATAATGCATCAAATGTCTACATAAATATATACACATAAATAAATACAAATATATATATATATATGTATATATATATATATATATATATGTTAGCAATTAGTACTGAATTTTGTAAATATATTTAGTGAATACTTAACACCACAGCTGGACATTGAAAACACGGCAGTAGCCATTACGATATTATTTATAAAGCTAGATGACTAACTCACTAGCTAACTAACTAGCTGGCTGACTGACTGACTGACTGAGTGAGTGAGTGAGTGACTATCTGATTAGCTGACGGAGTGACTGACTCGCGAGTTGGCCGGTTGGCTAGCAATGACGCAATTACATGGCCGAGTGAATAAAAATAATCATTTTTTTGTTATGTTTTACTTAGAAAAAAAAAGAAAGAAGAATGATAAAAATCTTTCGAAAAAGTAACAGAAAAATGATTTAATTTTTTTTTTTCTTTTTTTGCATAAAACTAATGCAAAATCATAATTAAAATGCCGTAAACACACCCAATATTGTGTACCACTGGGTGAGACATTGAGAAGTGAACAGAACGCATTATCATCGCTATTAACAGTTTAGAAGTTCGAAATATCATCGATAGCATTGGCAAATAAATGTCATAAATAGAAATATTTAATGCAACCTTGCAGACACAAGCATGTATTCATATGCAATCATACATAAATCCTCTCTAGTACAAAACGACAGTTTAATGACCACAATTTGTTAAAGAATAAATTAAATTAAAGTGAAATGACAATCGACTAGTTAACGTGTAGAGAATTGAATTTTATGATACGCGTCATAAATTTTTTAAGCTATAATACCCACCCACTACTGACGGTGATTGACACCGCATCGGAGTTTATAGTTTTAAGGTGATTTCACACAATAAATGGAAAAGTCAAATCGTCAAAGCCTACGAAGCGATCAACCATGGAAAAGTTTTCGATTCAACGCATAAAAGATCAAAATTGTTTAAAGAAAAAGAAAAATAAAAAAAATTAAATAAAAATTCAACTGCATTTTCGGAGAGATTAACATGGGAATAACATAATGAAACCTTAGTAAGGAATATAAAGTCATCGAAACTGATAATATACAAAGTAAGAAATTTGAAGCAAATATTATTTTTGTTTCAATCAATAATAAACGTCTTACTTGACGTAGCAATAAAGCGGAACGCTATTTAGATCATTTCAATCACAAATTTGTTATGGGAACAGTAGGGGGGGAAAAGGTTTCACCAAAAAATCTTTAACAGGAAATGATAAAAGCAGGCCTCAAGTATCTAACGCTAAGAATCAGAAGCTTGGAGAACAATAATGAATAATCCAATAGCAAAAGCCCTTCACTTGAAGCAGCAAGATCGCATGCATCCATGGGTGGAGTAAAAGAAAACTTTTTCTAATATCAAAAATTCCTTATCGAAGAAGAGTTTAGGTAAGAAAGCTAAAAGTTAGAATAAGAACATGATAAACAAACAGGCGTAAGGCGTGCGTAAGAAATCTAAGACGTTATCCTTATAAGTCGACCCAAGAGCGGAATAGGTTTTAACATATAACTTAGCTGAACAACCGCTTTCCGCATGGCATAGATATCATAGGTAGGTGAATATAGTTGCTCTAGAATATTAAGTCAAATGTAAAAGAAAAGCTGCAGGCAAATTGAGAGAAAAACAGAAAGAGAGGGAACAACCAAGGTGTAATAAAAAGTGAAGTCTGACGCAAATAAAGCGACACCAAGAGATTTATGGCGAAAGGGAGCTCAATCTTTTTCTCGCTAATTATACCGTAGTCGACCTCGAAAGGGTATGCCGGTCCTTAAGTACAGTCTGGTTGGGTTTGGTATGACGAGAGTATTTCAATAAAGTTGAACGTGTTGAACTAAAAAAGTAGTGAAAAATGTTGCGCAAGTACTTGATTCTGAAGATTTGAATTTACTGATAGCTTATAGACCCTTCGAGGTAACGTTTCTTAGTATCTGACGTTTCCAAGACTTCTTCTTAAGAGTTTCGTAACATTACCAAGCATTAAGAAAGAGACAATTAGTTGGATCTGGACTTTCAGCAGCTGTCTTAAGGTGTTATACCTATGCCCTTTGAAGAACCTACAAGTAAAAATTGAGTTCCACAAGTAAAAGCAACGACTTCGAAAACATCTAAGATGAAATTGCCTGCATCTGAGAATAAGCGTCCACATTCGTTTACAATTCTCAATACTTGAACATGTATTTCTATAAAAATTGCCTACATCTAAGGATTCCCAAGTTTTCTTGCATAGGAAAAAGCATTAATAATAATTTTATGTTTAACTACAAAAACTAGATGCTAGTTTCGTAGCGGAAGACCAAACAGTGTCAGAAATGCTGCTGAAAGACATCGTGCAACTACAACTCCAAATTTCGGTCTGAAATGCAGAAAAAATGCCGTCGAATTTCAATACTAATCGAAATAACCAAGACAAGGAACTATTTGCCTTAAATCTTTTTGCCTGCATTTCGAAACGGAGGCTGTCAATAACACTAGTCCCTCCTTTCATCCCTTTTCCCAAACACCATCACGCCTACGCGTACAGGGACATCTTCATTGACCGACCACACGAAAAAAAAGAAGAGTTAAAATTGTTCGTTATTATTGATGAAGGACTCGATATTTTTATTTTGTTACGAACTGTAGTGGTTCAGAAATTCAATTTCTTTTTAAAAACTTAGCATAAACTTCCTTCAAAATATTTTTATGGTCTATATAATAATTGTTCTTATGCGCAGAAATCTTTTCGGTAATTGTCCCACAGGTGAAGATCATTCGGCTTACTCAGTGTTCTGTCTGTAACCGCTAATCCTGAAGTTACCTGCATACAGCACGACATGTCTTGCACTACCCGCTTTTGAGTCAATCTACCAGCAACAGCTTTTTTCCGCCTTTCCAAATGTTTCCGTTTCTATGCCGAAGGTCTATTTTGCTCTCGTATTTACGTGCAATCAATCATTTTCATCACAGTACCTACATGTACTAGAGATAAATCCTACAAACAAAAAAAGAACAATAAATGTGATCTCCAGAACAGTTTTGAAAGTCATACCCAGCCGCTGAGAAAGAGGCAACACTAAATCACAACAAACCGCTTCTTACACTGATTAAGACAAATGTACGTGTGCGTTATTACTTGAATTAAAATTTTCCTTTTTTATTCTCTCCGGTTCTTAAATTATTTTTTACTTTTTTCATGTTGAGTTTGGTTGCCTTCTGCTTTTTAATTTATATGTCTTTATCAGGCTCAATTTTATAAACGTTTTTTAATTTTTTTTAGATGCCAAGCCTGCTACCGAGATCCTTCCCACAACACCGCTGGCTTCGAAGGCCATAGCAAAGAAACGATAATGAATGTTTGAAATGAAACCTTCACAATAAAGTTTCTGCATATGTCTTAACAAATCGAATGCTACCATGGGGAAGGAAATGAAGCTTGGAAGAACAACCAGCTCCCGGCCCTATTTCACTCACAATAAATTACTGATTATCTAACGAATATTAATTAATGTCAGTCAATCTTTTCATGAAGCTCAAATATTTATTCCATTCCTTGAGTTTAGTCGCGCCCGTGTATATCAAACATTACTGAGTTAAATATTTCTAACACAATTAATGGTTTCTAAATTCTCTCAACTAAACTCAAGAACGTAAAGAGGGTCTTTGTTTTTTTCATTGACAAGGAAAAATATTGCGCTGGTTTTTAATAATAAGATGTGGAAACTGTATAGAAAATAGAAAATGAAAACTATCATTGAAATGGAATTTTTTTGTTTTCTTTTTTTTCCTATATATTCTAAATTTAAAGCAATGAATAAAACATTAACGTCATGGGTTTGTGGGCCACTCCTAGTTATTTAAATTAAAACCGATAACACATGCTATTCTGTTTGTTGATGCACTCGATTTTACTTACCTTCATCGAGTAAACGTTCCACATGATTGAAAACATTGGGGAATGCGGCCAATTGTTTTCGATCCTTTAGTAGCTGAGCCAAATAATCGGCAATGCTTTGTGTGCTTTGCTGTTGTTGCTGCTGTTGAGCCGGTTGATGATGATGTTGTGGTTGTACTGAATTATTATTTTCACACACACTCATTTTGACAAAGATTTCTGTTATCGTTTTAAAATAATTGTTATTGTTTTTTTTTTTTTTTTGTTACTTTTAATTTTCTTAAAAATTAATTGCAATTTTTCTTAATAATTTAACTTAATGTTATGTTAATGTGTCTAGTAAATAATAATTGTAAGGATTATTCCTCTGTGTTTCAAAAAAAATTATTGCACAAAATATATTTTTTATATGTTTCTTTCACAATCCAATTTAACTCAATTTCATTCATTGGTTTTCTTACAAAAAATCAACCCTTTAATAACGCGCTTTAAAGATTTACTAAATCAAAAAGAAAACGAAGAGATCACAAATTAAATTTTTAATCTTTTTTTTTTTTTTGTCTTTTCTTCTTTACCACAGAGGGAGAGGGAGAGAGTGAATGAATATTGAATGAAAAATTTACTAAAACAATGTTTTTTATTCAGAAGTTAAAAGCAGAATAAATCATCACACCCACAAAATTTACAAAAAGCAGCTGAAGAAAAAATCTCAATCAATTACAGAGAGCAATTTAGCTAAATATAAAAATTGATTCAATCGCATTACACATGTAAGCAATGCACTGATCAGCTAAATACAATAGCTCTCTTTCTATGCAACGGAGAGAAAGTATACAAATGGAAAACGCAAAAAATTTCTCTCTACACTACGAACTCATGCATAGGCTACTTACTCGCTTAAAATACATTTTATAATAACATCGTGGAGAAGCATAAATAAATAATATAAAAAAGTTTATTACAAAAAAAAAATAAGCAAAAGAGATGTGAAAGAAAATAACACACAAAAACCAGCAACAAATGCAAAAGTTGAGGAAAAAGTAGAAAACGGAATAGTAGAAATTCTTTTTATGGAATTTTTTGCTTATTTTGCTTGTATTGTTTTTGTGGTTATTGTAGAGTCATGCAAAAGCAGAGCTAAACAAAAATCCAGCCGAGATTCTTACAAGAAAGGCAAGCACTAGTTTTAGGAAGTTGTTGAAACAAACTTTAGAGAAATTTCACAAAAAATCCAATGTTTTTTGATTAATTAATTAAAGATTGGTAATGAAATAAAAACTTAGTTTTGTTTGTTATTCTTATTAAAACCTCTGAAACAGCCTAACAATCTCACCACCGCCTGAACTTAACAGACAAATTCAACAAAAGTCATTTTATTATACAAGTAAGCAAGCGCTCTCTTTTTAACATTCATAGCCGCATATTTAAATCTACACGCACAGAGGCAATGAAACCGTTTATATAAAATACATCTAAGGAAAATGTCAACCTAAAAGGAGACTGCAAATTCCCTGCGTTCAATTTTATGGAATTTTTCTAAGAATAATTTACATAAAATAGTAATAAACAAGCATCAAATTGTTGTCAAAATATTGCTCTGGGTTTTTCGGTCTTTTTTTGTCTTTCAATGCGGGAGTGCTTTCAATCGCCTTCTCTCTTTTGATGTATATACACATATTCTTTCTTGTTTTTAGTTTTGTATTATGAGCGATGTGTAATGATTTATCCTTTCTTTTCTTTAAAAATTACTTTCGCCTTAAATTTGGTCTTTGAAACTCACTTCTCATATATTAAATACTTTTTTAATTCAATGAAATCCAAAAGTTCTTTTAGTTTTAATATAACTAGAAATTATTTTTTACTATATTGCTGTTACTTGTTTTGTTACTTTTTCTACACTTTCTTTGCCTTTTATACACTTAACCGCATTACTTAGTGACCGATCGCAATGAAATGAAAAATTAAACTGAAAAATTATATGGAGGAAATTTCGCTTTCAGACGTGATCACTTTTCTTATGAATTCTCTTTGCTTCTTATACGGCGCGTTTCTATTTATCTCTGTTTACAGCATTGGTATGCTTTAAATGAAGAAGTGAGATAACTATAGTAAGAAACAAACGTATTCTCACATGCTTAACATTACTGCCGCGTGTTAGTAAGTGAATATAAGTTTTAATGCAAACGGTGTTGAATAACGTTTAATAGAAAAAATTATTATGGAAATTTAATGCAATAAAATATTTCAAATTAAAATAAAAGGAAACTAAGCCACCTTTGAAACTGGGTTGTAAGCTATAGTCGTCATAATGGGAACGATGCCTTTTCATTGAAATAACGGTCCACTTGTCTTCTTTTAGAATCATATATTACGATTTTTTTTGTTAAATATTTGCAAATTTCAGCTTGGTAAACTCGATTATATATATAATCAAGCAATAATGTATAGATCAGCATTTTATGGAAAGTGTTTTATTAAAACTCTCTTTCATCATATTATGGTACTTTTATGAGGATTAGCTTATTCGAACATTAGCTTGCCTGATTAAGTTGTTATAATCATTATGATTACATAAACGCACATCTTTCGTAAAAATGCCACTCGAATTATAAATTAATAGTCAATACGAAATACAAGATATAAACTTAATGTTAACTTCTGAATTTATCAATCAGCTACTGCTGCCGTGTTTCTTTTGCTCACACTGCTCAATGATATATGAAAAGTTCAGCTTCAATCACTCTCTTGGTCTTATTTACTTGGAGTGGAAAAGCGTGTAGGATGTTCCCACACTTTGATAAAATTTTTATATTCACATTCTGTCGGTTATTTGGTTTATTTAAATTATTTTAACAAGTCTCTGTTCGCGTTTATTTCGTACATACATGATTTCACCTTAAATCAATTTTTCCAAAATTTTATGTAAATTATTTTGATTTTTTGATATAAAAACAAAATAAAAACAGTTTATAAAAACTATGCGAAATAAAACTGAAGCGCTTAACAATTTTAGACATTTTTAAAAGGAAACTGAAAAAAAAGCAAAAAACAAAAACTAAAAAGGTACAATGAACAATAAATCAAAATTTGAATGTTTTGATATGAAAACCAAAGAAAAATTGTTTTCAAAAAACCGAAAAAAATTTGCATACAAAACGCATGTTAAATTGACGACAGCAGGCAGCACACGCCCGTGATTGTAAAAGATTAACAATCCTACCTGTTGCTTACAAATATGTAATATGCTATACTCACGCGCATTTGTACCTTGATTTACAGGAGTTTGTGTGCATGTGTGTGTGTGTGTGTTTTTTTTCTTTCCCTGTATATGCGCATTTGTGTAACTCCTCGTTGCCATTATCTAAACTGGTTGTTATTGTAATGCCTGCAAAAGGAAATAATTAATTTGTCTTTACGATTGCCTGACTGTTAGTCTGGCCGTCTATCTATCTATTCGTTTGTCTCGAGCTTACACATGTGTCACCAACACATCATAGATAATTCATCAGCTGCAGAGTTATCTATCTATATTGATGACATGTGAATGAAAAATTATTTATTCATTTAAATAGGTATGTAAAGCATGCGAAGCTTTAGCTTAAAAGGAAACAGGCGTTAAATTTGAATATCAATTTTGAAATATCTAAATTAAATTAAATTTGTATTAAATTTTTTTTATTAATGAATAAAAATAAATTTTTTTTAAATTGCAAAACAAGACAAGAAATCAAACCATTAATATTAAAAAAAGCATAATATATGCAATGATAACGAGATTCAAGTCAAGAGCAGCGAAGAAGGAACAAGATCACTTTATGTGCGAAAAACATAAGAATGAAAAGCGAAAAGAAGAAATAAGAAAGAAAACCAGAAACTAACATCACTAACAGTGGGCATCACATTCTCCCAGCGGAAGCGGAACTATGTTTTAGTTATATCGCTTTAGTTATCATCGCGTTCTGTCAATGCCTTCATAACAAATGCGAAGAATGATATAGAAGGGAAAGTATTGGATAGAAGTAGAAAGTTATGCACATGGAAATAATAAGCGATTTTTAACTGAAACTGTCCTAGTGGACTACTACTTCCTTGGCCCTTTTGCGATTTGTAATACTGTTACGTGAGCAACGAAATTTTAGAGGAGTTTAGCAAATAAAATGTCTAAAGGATGATCTATTTTTGAGTACAGGGTAAGGATCATAGACTTTAACAAAATCAAGATTAAAATTAGAAATTGCGTGTGTCTGAAAGGAACGGGAGCATTGAAATGAAAGGGCTAAAAAGTCCAAGCGTCTAACTTACTAATGCATCAACATTTAAATTACTTAAGCTGATATCGAGTAATAAGAATAGCAAATAAGAATAGCACTTGTGCCTTACAATTTTGTACGCACGCTGAGTGCATGAATTTAAATTAGACTTTCAGTCATCCTCTTTTTGCCTCCAGTGATTGATTTATTTTTATTTGTTGAATGATTCAATTCTTCTTAAAGAGTGTATTCTCAGATATCGATCTTTAATCGACGCTACCGCCAAACTCTTGCCAATATTAAAATAGTATAACTAATACGATAGACAACTATTGGCAAAGGCGTTGGTAATCGTACTGATAGAAATCAAACTGTGTTCCTTTTCTCACAGTGGAAATTATGGAATGCTGATATATATTATTCTACGATGAGTGTTGTTTCCAATTCTTAAAACTTGGCAATCATAAGCTTTACTGTTTTTTCGTGATCCTTAAAGATTGTATATAGTAAGTATTGTGGGTGTGATTGAGATTGACCCATTGGCCGAATCTTTTATAAATCAAAAATTCCTGCCATTTACACGCACACTCAATTAAAGCATGCTAAGAAGATAGGCGCCATTAAGCAAAAGATCTTTTCCATCGATTAGATGAGAAATTGTCCTTGAGTATCAATTCTTGCACGAGGGGGGCCTGATAATAATGCGTATTATCATGCGCTCTGCGATCAAACTATTAACCGTCGTTACGGAAAAGGGACATGTGTCGTTCTGCTTCCAAACGCTATAAATAATGTCTGTCGATGTAAAAAAAAATGAAACAAAATTTAACCCACATTTGTGTCGCAAGATATTGTTTCAAGTGTTTTATGTACTTCTCTTGTAGCGCATTCAAGATATTTGGAATTCTTTTATGCCTTTCAAGAGTGTTTCATCACATATTATGACTGAATGTGTAGCATGAACGTAGCATGAATGGCAACATGCCTAAGCATACAGTGATTGTTGTGATGTTGCTCTTAGTTGTTGTGACCATAAAACACCCGCATTGTGGAATTTCATTAAGTTTAAATTATGGAATAAATCCTAAGTTAGCTCGATCGATGCGTGAGTGTGTATTGTGCGTACGCGCGTTTGCATGTATCTATATATCATGTTTGTCTGTTAGTTGTCTATATATTGCAAGAATGGTAAAAATCACATATGTACTGGATAACTGACGCTTACATTTGAAGTCGATAAACCGACTGTAGCACACATACCAAACAATGTGAAAGTGTGATGAAACATGAACATACACAACCGACCCGTACAAGCGCTACTACT